TGCAGGGGATATATCAGCGGAATAATCAGGTGAAGACTCCTGACAGATTGCAGTCCTGGCGGAAGCTCCGAGCGCTTCAGTGGTTGCAATGGCAGCGTGTACACGACGCCGTCAGGAGAACGGCGATACTCGGGTGTCCTCTTCATACGTGCCTCGAGCTGACGAATCTCAAGAGCACGTCGTTCCTTTGCAGCGGCGATTTCATCTCTTGCGTACGACGGCTCTGGGACGTACTTGAAGGGCGTGGGAGCAGGTTTTGGCGGAGTTGGCTCAGAGACCTGCTTGGACTGTACTGGCTCGTTTGCTTGAGGCTTTTGTGCCTCCACATGCCTCGTGTCTCTAAAAGTCACGAGCTTGACTGTCTCGGCCTTTTGCTCAGACAGAAACTTTTCCAAATTCTTGTCCAACTCTCGTGTGTGAGCGAGCAACGTAGCCCCAGGTCTCTCCTCCACGAGTCCATCCCATCCTCTCTCTATATTGATACCAAAACCCCTTGGGATGTCCTTGTTCTTCACATGCAACACCGGCTTCTCATCCGGATATGCGTGCGGGACACGGAGATCACATTCGAGGGCGGCCAGCTCAAAAGGAAAGTCAGGATCCGAGGGCTTAATCTTGAACAGCAATGAAGTCGCACCGTCCGGTGCGGTGATTTCCTTTGGCGAATAGCGTCGCCGCAGCTGATCGATCTGATATGTCCTAGGATCCTGGGCCTGGGATTCTGGCACAGGCTTTAGGACGACTCTAGAGGAAGAGGCTTCAGCCACAGCCTGTTTACGGGTCTGTGGCGAGCCTGACTTTTTGGTAGAGATCATGACGTTTTTAGAGGTGGGCTGTTGCTGGCCAGTCAACGGTGGTATTTTGGCGATGGTTGAAGTTGAAAACTAGATTGACGCGAAAGGAACCCAAACTCCGCACACGTAAAAAAACGTTGCAATGCAGCCTCAAAATAATGGCTATGATTTGTAACTGGGAAATCAATGGGAATGGAGAACGGTGTTGTTTTTATTTTATCGTGATGTTGATGGAGTGGCGAGCTTCTCCACTACTTCTCTGGGGGTTGAATACTTACGTGAGCAGAATCAAGTTCATTAACCCGAAATCGACAGTGACTCATGGGGCGTCACTGTCATTTCCATATGAAGACACTCAACTGAGATTGCCATTTTCCTATTCGATGATTGATGTCGTTTTTGTATTGACTCATAGGTACTTCATATCATTTTGCTGTCTACTAACCCATGATGACTCAATCTTGGAAGACTAGATGCAATATCACTAGCTGAAACCAGCTTTGTAGTCCGCCCAGTCATGTCACCTAATTATAATCATGCAGATGCAAGAATTGGTGAAGAATTCAAACGAAGAAAAATTCAAGCCAGCAACATGCTTTCTTATGTCTCATTGGCTCAAATGTTTGTCCTCTGAAGTTCAAGACGGTCATCCCATATGAGTACCCTGTGTCACGTTAAGAACAAAGAAAGGGCTACGAAGTACACACCCTAATTAATTTTAAACTCTTCCAAGATTTTGTAAACAAAGCCAAGATGCGTGCCTTTCAGGGGAAACCCGCGAAGGCTTAACTACATCGACCCTTGGCACCTGAACTTTGGCCTGTCAATGTCAACGCCAACCACCCGTGTTACAACACAAGGTTGGTCCAGCTTTTTGGTGTGCACAAGACGGTCCACGAGGACGACACTCACATAAGACGAGGCCATGTTTGTTTGACTCGACGGAGGTGACTGTAACAGCTCCTACAGCTGCGTTTGCCGCTGTCTTACGCACAGGAGAAGCAAACTATCGCCTGCAGTCCCTCCCCAAGATCACCCCCGCATCGACGATCGGGTTTGCTTGGTTTTCCTGCTTGCAGACGGGGAACGACATGAAGCGCCCGGAAAGTCGTCCGTTTGGATATTTGTCTCTCGTGAGATGATGGGTCAAGATGATTGGAGCAATATCGACAAGTTCAAAATCCGCATGAGAGATGAGAGAACATCTATTGACATGCCCGTTCGAGACAAGTCACGGGTTGCGCTTCGCGGGGGCTGTGGCTGACAGATCGACGTCGGTGAACGGTACGTTACTTACGAGATATAAGTTATCAATAATCAAGCATAATGCCTGGACAATAGCACTTGGAAGTCATCAGCAGGAATTCAGGCTAAAAGCGTGCATGTTGCAAGCCGTGGTGGCTGAGATCTATCACAAGTCTATTAATGACAGAGCTTGGCCATGTACGAATCGATTCATGAGTAGGGGTCCGTGATGCTGCCCGATAATCTCAAGATGAGCCGTTGTGAGAGCCTGAAAACAAATCAGGCGATGACGGAACACCTAATCAGCTAGGCAATCAGTCAATGTGATAAACATGGCTATATCACAATACGAGGCGGTGATGTCGTGGCACCAGAAGAAAGGCCATCAGCCAAATTTGATTTTGATCTGGTGAGCACCAGGCAGAGAACGTGGCTACTTGACCGCAACAAAGAAGCAATGGGAAAAAGAAGAAATTCAGATGAGAAGTCACTAGATTCATCATCAATTGACATTGACACTTGACAGTCGTGGATTGATGGGCCTGGCCTTGGTCATCACGTAGCATTGCATGTAGGACAAAGCAAGCCATTATGAGGATGGAAGCTGATTACTTGGTAGGCACAGACATATCTGCCTTCATTCGTGTAATGCAATGTCTTTGAGAAGTTTCTTTTTCCTTCTTCGAAAACGGCTCGTCGCATATGAGGGCGCTGTTTGTTGACCCGTGATAGGCAAACAGAAGGGCCAGAGAGTGCGACAAGCGGGTTGAAACATGAGAAATGGAGTGGAGGTCTGTATGTAAGTTACTGCAGGTATTGTTTTTCTTGGTGTTGTATTGTATTTGGAGAGTGTCTCATGTAAGCCCGGGGAAGCAAGAGACATCCATCTTTATTTGTTATACGTTGGGGTTTATAATATGGCATGGTATGGTATGAATCGACAGGCCTCTCTTTATTATTAGAGATGGTGGGTGTATGGGGTGGGTGTGCGCGTCAAAGTGAAAGTGATGGATGCCGAGTAGACCTTTGTCTGTGAGGGAGTGGAGGATGGGATGACAACGAAGCAAGTTGAGTGCCCATATGACCGTGCAAGGCCTGTTGAAGCGACCACAGTGGGCGGTGAGGCCCGGGAACCCGGTGCTGTGTGGTTGATGAAGGCAGAATAGGTGCTGTACCGTTTTTTATTGTTTGTTTTACAGATTTTAAATGAATGCGAATTATTTATTGGCTATTTTATTTTATTTTATTTTCTTTTATCTTTAACGGCAGTCGATACGGTTCAAACGGTAGATCTGGCGGTGATCATGCAAACCACACAACACCCTGACTTGGCAATTCATCTTCTAACTTTAGGGACTCTCATCTTCACCAACTCACGAGGTTGACATTGGATGCCAGTATAGAATTCTATCAGCATGCACTTTGTATGAATATGAATACTAGTCTTTGGTTGGTATTCTATATGGCAGATATTTCCACCTTATTATTCGATTAATTTAAAATTCATCTCCATTGTTCACCGTCTTCAACTCAGTCCCCACGCTCAGTCACTTATCACTTACATACAAATGTACAGCATCTCTCGCCCGCATCAATGCAACACCAACAAGCCCTCAACTGACTCACATACACCCTTCAGCGACAATGGTACCCCATTCATCTCTGAGTCTCACAGCGAGAATAGTCACCCTCGAACTCAGAACATCGGTGAAGGCGCTTTGGGGGGACACACTTCACACTGACGGCCCGTTTCCCTTTCCTGGTAAGTCACGATAACGGAGCACCGTGTATTAATCGACGGTACAGGAGGTAGGTGAGATAAATTTACAACATACGATCCAATAGTCACAGTGCGCTAGAGAACTGCGGCTTGTGGATGGCAGTACAACGCTCCGCCGCTGTGAGACTACCTGCTGAGGCGCCCACGGATACCTACACAAGAGAAGACATGATAACTTCATTGTCTCTCTCTCCACAAGTCGAACTTACATGTCTTGCTGATTCTATAGCAATCAGACTATGTCTCAGCCTCAGATCTAAGCGCTTGTTTACACCCGCTAAGTAAATCAACCGAGAAGCCGAATACCATAAGTTTATTCACGTTTGCGTGACCAAATCTAGGTCACGCTTCTCTTGCCATCATGGCGTTCAGACCCTAATCATCTGCCTCAATCGATCAAGTCAGGGTCTGAGTACACTTTTGTCTCACACGCCTTTCGATCATGAGAAATACCTACAGCTGTCAATATCGAGATAGTATCATGTGGTGTTTTGAGGTATGAACAACACGTACGAGAATATGGCAACTGCTACGTGTCCATGTGAATGCCCTCATCTCGTGAGGGCCAACGTCACCTCGGCTCCGAATGCCTTGTTCATTGTGCCAATCCTTTTTCCCGTATTGGAACTATGCTATCATCCGAGGCTGTCAGAAGCAGTGCGCCATTCAGAACTATTCAGAGAAATCTTGTTCTCGCCAGCCACTGGTATCATCACTTTGCAGGTCTAGGTTAGCAATCATAAAAGTAAATAAACAAAGCACCCTTGTAAAACAAGCTTAACTATAACCCGAAAATTTTCCATGTTCTTATTCATCTCACCCATTCAAGCGAGTACGTTTTGATTGTTCCATCTCTATGTAATTGGTTGCCGTCTCAAGTCGTCTCGTATTGATCGCATTCAATCATCAGGGCCACGCAACCGAGGGAATCTGGCAGCCAACCAAAATCTTCCCTGACACTAGGATAAGCATCCAAAAACTCGGGAAACGATATCTCTAACCTTGTCAACGTATTCGTCGCATTCAGAAATGATGAAATTCGTGGCCTCGTTATTGTGAGAATGTATATAGATTTGATGTTAGATGGCGAGAGAAGGATGATCATAGCAAGACAAGTCAGCGATCTATACAAATATCGATATTCTTATACTATCACTAAGTGCCCGAACAACTGAATCAATATGCAAGATCAAGAGTCCATCTGGATGTACGATCCATCCTTCCCACTTGCTGTGGTTGGTACTGTTGTCTATGGAATAATCTTCCTTGCCATTGCATACCTCACTCTGATCAAGTACCGAGCCTGGTACTTCATTGTTGTAGTTATAGGCTCAGCAATAGAAGTTGCTGCTTATAATCTCAGAATCCATTCTGTTCAGAACCAGTCAGAGATAGTGAGTTGGTCCCTTACTGTTGAGTCTCCTCTCACCTCTAACGAACACGGCAGACGCCTTTTGTCCTGACTCTCACTTACGCGGTCCTCGCTCCGGTCCTTGTAGCTGCTGGAAATTACCTTCTTATTAGCCGTCTCATCCTCGCCGTTCTTCCTCCATCCCACCACCGCATCCTTCGAATTCCAGGCCGTCGCCTTACCCCGATATTTGTTTTCTGCGATGTAATCGCCTTTCTCATCCAAGGCAGCGGTTCTGGTATCGCAAGCTCAGATAACTGGCAAGGAGACATGGAGAGGCTTGGAGTAAAGGTTCTCATAGTCGGACTGGCATTCCAGCTTGCCGCCTTCTCTCTCTTTCTTTGCGTTTTTAGACGTTTCCATGTCCTTGCCCTTCGTATGGCTGTTGAGGATGCTCCTAGGGGTTGGCAGAAACTTGTCTTTGCAGTTTACATCTCGAGTATCTTGATAATGGTAAGTCGTCTGGATATGGTTGCAACACAAGTTAACTTGCCAGGTTCGTTGCATCTTTCGTGTCGTTGAGTTTGCTGGAGGGAGGGATACATATGCCTTCAGCCATGAGTGGCTCTTCTGGGTTTTCGAAAGCCTGCCGATGGCTGTTGCTATAGGTATATTTTGTTTCTATCATCCAAGTCATTATCTCGGAAGAAATGGCGCCCGGTCCAAGTCTGTTCGGACTGAAGATACTATCGAGCTTGCTGAGGGGTCCAAATAGTCTTCGCATAGACTGTCGATCGATCAAGTGTCGACTGGGATATCTAGCAGCTTTTACACCCACAGTCTTTCCGAGATTATATTGAATAGCATGGAAGAAGGATCTAGGTTGGAACGGCTGGTTTGTCACTGGTTCGGTTGTTTTTAGGAACATGTCTGTACCCAGTATTGTTAACAGGCTCTAAAGCTATGTTGCAGCTAAAGAAAGCGTCTCTCCGGCTGGTATAACTGTTCTACCATTGCTTAGAAAAAAAGGTTTCCAAACTTGGTCTTCGTCGTCAAATGAGTAATTGAGACTGTTGATGAATCTCAGGGGCCACTCGCCATATTCGTAGTACTCAATAGGAAGCTTTCGGAGAATTTGCTGCACCCAGACCTTAGACATAGCTTTTCTGCAGTGATAACCTTTCTTCCCTGATGCAGATCGCTTGTCTCCTTCGACTGCCTTCCTGCTCATAACGAATTCAAGAACCAGCATGTGTAAGATGACGAGCTGTGAAGCATAATTCGTGGGGTCGATGAATGAAGCAAAATCGTTGCTGCTTAGGTTTCCTATCCCATCATACAGGAAAGCGAGTTCATGGTAGCCTAAAATTTAGCAATAATTCAACCAAAGTACAAGGGAAACGAACTTTCGGCAGGGTTTGTAGATGCTAAGGTAGCGATTCTTTGCATATGGGCCAAGTATTTTAACTCAGCAACGCTGTGGCACAACGGACCAAGCTTCTGCACACTTTGACAGAATCCTTCGGCAATGACTTTATCCAGATAGTGATTCGTTTCGTGGCCGTCTCGTATTATGGCCTTGATTCTTTCGAGGTAACTGACACGCCCGAATGTCTTGAAGATAGTGTGATCTAAATCAACATGAGGTTGTGTACCGACGAGCCAACCTTAAAAGAATGAGCAAAAGGGGGCCGTAGAGTTTACTGAGGGTTTACTTACAGCCTCTGACCATTGTGAGAAAGTCTATGAGCCCGTCGTTCATGTATGCAGATTGAAAAGTCAAGTTAAGCATCGCTCCAAACGCTGCTTCGGCGTCTTGATCGGTAAGACCAGGTTTTGCGAGGTGCTTATTCAAGGCACTGATTGCTAGAACTCGATGCTTCAAGGCCGCTTTCTCATACCCGTTAGGAGTAATCAAACTTAGGTGAGATGCTCCAAGCCCAAGCATAGAGTGCAGTAAGAAGTCATACTGTTGCGTATTAGTCACATAACCCATAACCATGGCATTCAGCTTACTGAATGTGAACGCTGTGAGGCCATTTGCCACACTGTGAATCCATCTATGGGCAGTGGAGGATAGGCTTCAAAGAGGAAATGCCGAAAGAAGTTGAGATCGTTGTAATCGAACATAACTGGGTCAGTTCGCAGCGGTCGTGAGATGACAACCGCTGAGTTTTGACTACCATGTCTAGGCCTATTCAGGTATTCGCACTCCAGGCCTAAGCGTTCGCATGCACCGCATTCTGGTGTGATCAAGTCGCATTTTACTCTTCTCCGTTTGCAACTGGAGCAACCTGCCCGAGACTTGGTATGGCCTTTTCGAGGGACAGGACGCCTCTTGGTGACGACAGTAGAAGTATTGGAGGCGGCTAAGGAACCTAGCTGGGCAAATGCCGCAGGCTCAGAAGACTGCATAGAGAATGTTGACTATATCAATGATATGTATTTGATTTAGGGTCAAGATCCATTGATGAATCCTGCTGGTGGTTCAGCGTGTCTCGATTCTGCACGTAAGCCAAGGGAACTGGAATTCCTCCGATCCCTGTCAGACATCATTACAGGGCATCCAATCACAACGGTCAACATGCACATCAACTTCATTACAACAAAAATCATCAAGTACGCAGAATATACAGTACTTTTGATTATACATACATGGATATCATCTACCTGCATAACCAATCCTCGCAATGATGAGATTGACAAGCATGTATTCATTCATCGCTCATCTATCTTCATCTAAAAGTCGTTGTCATCCGCTCCCGAAACAATAACATTGTTGACCTTGAGGACCATGCGACATAATTGTGTGGCGAGCTGAAGCTGCTGCTTCTTGCCGATAAGAGGATCGATAACAAAGGCGTCCTTCATGTTGTTGTTTCCGCGTCCCATGCAGTCAACACCAAGCTTTCCTCGGCCCTCAGGACCTGCCTTGACCTGCTGACTCTTGACCTCGGCCAGAGTAGCGATAGGGTTGAGACCACTGTTCTCGGCCAATGTCATGGGGACGGTGTCAAGAGCCTCAGAGAAGGCACGCATGGCGTACTGCTCAAGACCGGGTGTCTTGACGGCCTCATCCTCAACAGCCAGAGAGCAAGCAATCTCAGCAGCGCCACCACCGTAAACGACACGGTTGTCGCGGACCAAGTTTCGCACCACGCAAAGAGCATCATGCAGCGATCTCTTAGCCTCATCGATTATCTAGGTTGTTAGCATTGTTTTCATTCTTGACCATCAACAGAACTCACCATCTTGTTGCTGCCTCGGACAAAGACTGTGACAGCTCGGGTGTTGGCACACTCCTCAATGACAAGCATCTTCTCCCGTGTTGTGCCGAAAGTCATCTCACGGACGATACCAGCACTGCCCAGCTTCTCGGCTGTAAGATCCTCAAATCTGGGAACAATTCGGCCGTTGGTAGCAATAGCAATCAACTCAATCTCAGGACCACCGACCCATCGGACGGCTGGTAGCTCGTTCTGGAGGAGGAGATGGTTGGCCTCATCATCGAAACCCCACTGGCAAATAGCCAGGTTAGCACCTGTGTCCTTGATCTGCTGGATCATCTCAATAAACTTCTCCTTCTCATAGTTTTGCAACTTCTTGAACTCCTCGACGCTGGTAATATCCAGGTGGTGCTTGGTCTTGGGCTTTGGGGGCTCGAACGCGCATGTGAGAATGGCAATCTTGGCATCCCGGACTTCTGAAGGCATCTGAGGGTGAGAAAAGTCCTTATCGACAATGACACCCTTGACGAGAAGGGTATCCTCGAGGGCTCCTCCGACCTTTCCATCAACCTTGATCAACTCGAAATCGACATCCTTTCGCTCGAGGTCAGCAACAGAGAGAACGGCATCAACGGCGATGTTGGCAAATTGATCATGAGATTTGGACACAATCTTGCTGCCGAGACTTGTTCGAGCGACCTTGACAAGGTTGGAGGTCTCTTCTCGGGAGAACTCAATGGTATCTGAAATCTTGTCAAGTTCAGCAACAGCGATATCGCAAGCTTGATCGTAACCGTCGGCAATTCGAATAGGGTGGATTCCCTTGTCGATAAGATCGGCAGCCTGTTCCAACAGAGCACCAGCGAGGACAACGACACCAGTGGTACCGTCACCAATCTCATCGTCTTGAGACTTGGAAAGCTCCACTAGTAGCTTAGCAACGTGGTTTGTAATCTCCATCTGCTGTAGAATCGTAGCGCCATCGTTCGTCACGGTGATATCTCCATCGGGGGAGATGAGAATCTTGTCGAGTCCACGGGGTCCGAGAGAGGACTTGACGATGTTGGCGACTGTTCGAGCGGCGAGAATATGAGACTTGACAGCTTCGTTGCCAAACTGGCGCTTCTTCTTCCCCTGACTAAAAGATATTATTAGAAGGGTTTGGAAATAACGGTGAGACTGCAATGATGGCCAACTCACTCCCTGACGACAATGAAAGGTCGGCCTTGCTCATCCTTCATTACCGCCGCTGTTGTTGTTAGCTGAAAATCACCATCATGGTAAGTCGTCGCAATTACCATTTGACACATCCAAATCTGTCCCCTCGTTAGCTACCCCTCGCCCCTCATCAACAAAACTGTGCAGGACTCACTCAATGAATCCATTTTGACTGTGGCTTGTCCACCCGTGGGGAGCTGTATCCGCTAGAGTAAAGGCGTTTACGGCGATGTCGAAAAAGTCCCACGAAATATGGTGGCAGCCTGGAGCTTCTATCGTTTTCTTGATCGAATCTCCCACCTCAATTTTTTGAAGATTTGGGTGCCTTGCACACACACCGATGCGCGGCGCGGGGAAACAAGATAGTCCGAATCAGGGGTTAGGCATGACCCCGCTAGCCCCGCCACAACCTTAGGCTTCAGCAGTTGGTTCAGTGAGATCATAAGTCGTGAGCGCGAACCCCACTACCAGCTTGCCCACACCAATAGTCGATACATCATTAAAACACATCCAGACCTTATCCTAAGTTAATCTTGGAACACAAACTCTCCGAAGCAGATCGAGAAGTTTGCTTGCGACTGTTTTAAAGTCTACATTCTTGTTCTTCTTTTCTGGCTATAAAGGCCCTGATACCCTCTGTTCTTCGCCCTCAGGCTCTTCCCTCTGTTAATACCCTCCAGTAACTGAGCCACACCACATCTTTCAAACGAACCCATCTTTCGCCTTACCAGTCCAGCTAGACAAGATGTCGCGCCATCGAATCGTTCACACTTTCAATGCAAGCGATATAGTATCCGAATTTGACGGAGATGACTATGAAGACGAAGTAGAAGACGAGCTCAGCCCAGAAGATCGCCAGGCCATGGAGGAGGGAACAGCAGAGGTCCGTCGAGCTCTAGGCACTGAAGCGAACAAGGTGACAAAAGCACAAATCGAGGAAGCTTTGTGGCACTATTACTACGATATCGACAAATCAGTCACATATTTAATGAAGACATTCATTGCTCCGGCCCCCAAACCAGCAAAGAAAGCGCCAGAAGGTATGTCAGTCTTTTTTTCTGCTTCGCAACGCCTTTTTGGGACTGGAGCAGACCACAGACGTCTGTCAAACGAGCATACGTCTATCATGGATCCTCCACCCGCTCTGGGAGTTCCGGCATGGCATTTTGACGACATGCCATGGATGAACGTACCTGAAGAACGTCGGACTGTCTTTATTGAGCCAGAGCGTCCTCGTGGTGGCTTATTGGGAGGTGGCGAGGGGCCTCCCAAGATGTCAAAGCTTCAAGCTCTTGCGGCCGCTAGGAAGAAGAAGACCGAAGAGAAAAAGGAGCTGGAACGGGCCGGAAAGGGTCTGGAAAGACTTTCCATCAATGAGTCACAAAAAGAGAACCAGCCAGTCTTGGGTCAAGCTCGCCAGGCTCCTGAACCTACACTACAAGTCAGATTGCCGCCTCAAGAGGAATCAACAGAGGCTGCAGCTATCACCGACAACCAGAAAGACATCAATTCTGATCCCAAGGGATGGCTTATGGATGAGGGCCTTCCGGTCATGATGCCTCGGGCTGCCCCATCCGCCTTTGCCAGGACGCTCTTTGGATCTGCTCCGTCCAAAGCCCCAAGGCCTGACGAGATTTTTGCTATGCCATATACATCCTCTCCCATTTATGTCGCCGAAGCTTTCGCCGAACCCAGTCCCGATGACGTGGTGCTCGCAGCTCAGGCGAAAGGTTCGAGTTTTGCAAGGACGAAATAATCGGCTAATCTAATTCCATTCAGCGGGGAAAAAGCCAGTAGCCAAGGCTCCTAAAAAGGCCCAAAAGGAGAAAGACAAGGACGTTTCTCAAGTCGAAAAGGACGCTGCGGAGTTGAATGTTGTTGAGGCTCCGCCCCCTAAGAGCAAGGGGCTTGATGTTTTGAAGGAATATGAAAATAGTTCCAACAAGAGAAGTATCAGTTTTGTTGTAGTCGGTAAGTTCACCTGTTTTCACCTATGTTCCAGGCTAATCAAGTAGGACATGTCGATGCTGGCAAGAGTACACTGATGGGCCGCTTGTTGCTGGAACTTAAATTTGTCGAGAAGCACACTATTGATCGATACCGAAAGCAGGCTGAAAAGTCTGGCAAACAGTCTTTTGCCCTGGCATGGGTAATGGACCAAAGAAGTGAGGAGCGAGAACGTGGTGTCACCATTGACATTGCGACAAACCATTTTGAGACAGAGAAGACCAGCTTCACTATTCTTGATGCCCCAGGCCACAGGGATTTTGTGCCCAACATGATCGCAGGTGCCAGTCAAGCTGACTTTGCTATCTTGGTCATTGACGCAAATACTGGAGCCTACGAAAAGGGACTTAAGGGGCAGACCCGAGAACATGTGTTTCTCCTACGAAGTCTGGGTGTTCAAAGGCTTGTCATTGCCGTTAATAAGTTGGACATGGTTGGTTGGTCACAGGAGCGTTTTGACGAAATTGCTCAGCAGGTCAACGCATTCCTTGCTGGTCTTGGCTTCCAACCCAAAAACATTGATTTCATCCCTATTTCTGGTCTCAATGGCGACAATCTTGTTCGTCGAACAGAAGACACAGCTGCATCTTGGTACACTGGCCCTACTCTGATTGAGGCTCTCGAAAACTCGGAGCCATCGACAACACGTGCTCTCAAGAACCCGTTCCGAATGGCTATTTCTGAGGTCTTCAGATCGCAGCTTGGCACAACGACTATTGCTGGCCGAGTTGATTCTGGCTCTGTTCAGATTGGTGATGCTCTATTAGTGCAGCCAAGTGGAGAAGAAGCATATGTCAAGTCAATAATGGTGGATTCGGACATGCAAGACTGGGCTGTTGCTGGACAAAGTGTCAGTGTTGCTTTGACTAACATTGACCCTATTCACATTCGAGTTGGCGATATGCTATGCCATACCAAAGATCCTATCAGCTGTGGCGACACTTTCACCCTGAAAGCCATGGCGTTTGAGCATCTCATGCCCATGCCGGTTGATCTCCATCGTGGACGACTGCATTCAGCTGGACAGATTGTTTCAATCACAGCAACCTTGGACAAGGCCACTGGGGCGATTGTCAAGAAGAAACCCAGAGTTGTGCAGCCTGGTGGTGTCGCTCGAGTAGTTATCAAACTGGCGGCTAAGGTTCCTCTTGAGTCGGGGCAAAGAGTTGTGATCCGAAGTGGAGGTGAAACTGTTGCTGCTGGCTTATTAGAGTAGCAACACTCATAGAATAAAAGTTTCAGAAAAAATACTATTGATTGTGTTTGATGTTTTGAAAGTGAAGTCATAGTGAATACTGGAGTCAACTGGCGGAGGGAGTGTAAGAAAACATAGGACCTCTATCCTAAGTGGTTAAAAGACTTAGGTGAAGATAAACCTTTGCAAGATTTTAAGAAACTTAGTGTGACTTTACCCTGTTTAATTCAGTTACCAAATCAAATTTCTCGAGTCTTTTGCTCCCGAAGGCTGAATGATGCTCAGGAAGAGTAGTGCTCATTGTTCATCTACGGTCATACATACTGGCTGATTTCTGAATCATCCACATGCTATTGAAGCGTTTACCATTCTCGACAAGGGAATATGTAATCACGTTATGACATCCATCTGATCTATACCATCTCCAGGACGGAGAGGGTTCATTACAATCAGTAACTACACATCCTGTCATGAATAAGAGCCCGGATCACAAAGTCTACTGGCAACTACACACTCATATACGGATTTTGAAACCAAGATACGTCATACATGGGGAAAAGCGCGGGATTTTTGAAATCAGATTAGAAATCCAAGGGATAAGAGCGATGAAAGTTACCGAGTGCCAAAGAAAATATGCAGGAAACTTTGTCATATCAATCACGTTCAAGGGATCGACGGAAGGAGATTTTATATGGAGCCTAGAGTTCACTGCATGTCATGATGCATCGGAGGAGCTTCAGGAATCTTGGCAAATACAGAACGACTAAGCTAAACTTGCATGCGTCATGCATAACTAATCATGTATCACTAATCGTACAATCGGTTTACACCTTTCTCCGAGCACTGAGCAGAAGCCTTAGTCCAAAAGTCCCTTCTTTCCGTCACCGTCAGCATCCTTCATGGGGTTGAGACGGTCGATCAGGGAAGGTTTCTTGCCAGTCTGCATGCCAACGCCAGAATCACCACGGGACTGTGGATGTTAGTTTAGTCCAATTCATGAATGGTAAGAACACTTACGTGTTGACTGTTCAAGGGGTCATTGTGAAGAGATCCGGTCTTGACCTGGTCATACTCGCCGGTGTGAGGCTTGTTGAGGCCAGCAGTGTTGGTATTTCCAATACCACGGTTGCTGGAGCCAAAGTTGCTCATGTTACCAGTGGTACCCATAGACTCTACACCTGATCCAGCACCAGCGGTTCCAGGAATACCAGTACCAGACTGGAGACCACTGTTGCTGCCGATGCCTCGGTTACCTTCAAGTGTAGAGGGAGCAGCTGCAGCACCTTCACGGTTTTGGTGATGAGAGTGAGCGGCGCCAGCAGCGGCGGCGGCGGCTCCAGCTCCAACACCAGTTCCGGTTGAGCTGCCAAGGCCACGGTTCTTTGTCTTGGATGACTTGCCCAAACCGCGGGACTCCTCGTCACTAGAGCTCACAGAGCTGCTGCTAGAAGCAGATCCACGGCGTTCCTTGTGGCCAATACCGTGTCGGTGCTTGCGAGTAGCTGCAGCAGCCCCAGCGCCTGCTGCAGCGCCAGCGGCCAGACCTTCAGTGTTGCGTCCCATACCTTGGCCCTCTCGACCAGAGAGGGCCTGGTTTTCACCGTAGTTGTCACCATAGCCGTGAAGGTGCATAGATTTGTCACCTTCAAGTTGTTCGCCCTGAAGCTCTCGTCGGTACGGCTTGGGGCAACCCTCAAACTCGGTGAGCTTCTGAGCTGCTCGCTCCTTGAGACCGCCACGCTCATGCGTGAACTCTTCTAGAGTCTTAGTTGGTAGAGTAGAAGTTCCATGGTGAACAGGTGCTGCGTGGTGGGTTTCGCTGCCGATCAAATTAGCTCAGTGTCCTCTTCCTCATCACGATCAGCATATGTAACGCACTGAATGGGTATCGTGGTGTGAACGACGTGCGGCTGGACAGTCTCTTTATTAATCACGGGCTGTACATGCTCATGGACATGGTGATGAACTGTGGTTATTGTTGTTAGCTTTGCTGTGGGTTAATGAGGTTTGGGTGACTTACTTCGTTCACCGGTGACAACGGGAGCAGCCTCAGTAGAGTGAGTGGTACTGTGGGTCTCAGTGGTATCTCTGTATTTAGCAGCTTCTCGGTCAAGTGTAGCCCGAGTGTCTTGCTCATTGCCGTGGTGGAAAGTCTTGTGCTCGACAGGGACGAGGTTGTGGTGGTGCTGCTCAGGACTGAGTTTGTTAGCAGTTGCAAACATGTGAGAACGAAAAAGTTACTTACAGAGTCTCCTTGTGAGTGATGGGCTGAACAGTCGTATGATGGTGCTCTTGATGAACCTCCTTATCCAGGGCAGTGGTCACTTGCTCATGCTGATGAGGCATAACATGCTCCTGGGTGACGTGAGGCTTAACATCTTCGTCGACAGTGGTTCTGTGCTTTCCATCATTGGAAAGGAAGCTAGAAACGGCCTGCTTTGCTTTCTCCATTGTGTATGATTTGGGTTATGGGTTGCAAGTGTATGGAATTCAATGGGGGTAATTGTTGCTTGATGTTTTTTTTCGCTGTGGCTTATGTGTTGATGATGATAATGGGATGAGAATATAGCTAAAGAAGTCGGCGTACACTTAAGTTTATATACTTGAATACTCTTTACGTCGTCCCGTTGTCCGAACTGCCCGCCCTCTTCATCATGGGCAGCATCATGGACGTCATCTCATAGCTTTAGCCAACGGTGAGTTCCAACGTGAGCTCCGAGCTATCGAGATTGTGGAGGAGCACATCGAAGCTTCCAATGATGATGACCTCAAGCCTACCATGTCATCCCGCGATCTTCATTTAGCGCGTATCCTGGTCCCCACGGCTACCTCCACGTCAACGGAAGAGGCAGCTCCAGAGTCAGTGCGGCCTGACACCTGCAGCTCAACTACAGCTGAAAGAGGCCTTCATCGACGTCATGATCGAAGAACGATCTGAGCAGATAAAGGGCGAGGCTCAATGCATGTCTCACCCATCCGAGTGGATGGCGTGTTGAGCCTCAGCCGGTAGGAGCAGATGATCCGCAACCGGAAAGCATTGGCGTGTCGAAATTGGTGATAACCTCGTCTAATTTCTCCGAAAGTCAAAGGGATGTGGGGGATAACAAGAAATGATGAGCAGGTTCTGCCAAGCAGAGCTGAGACAAGCTAGACAAGCTAGAC